AAACTAGAATACTTTGAGAATTTGTACATTTACAGGCGGACTATAAGACTACTTTTAAACAAATTTAATTGAAATTTAAAATTAAAGACTACTTGAGCATTTATTTATTTTGTGTTTATATATGAGTTTGTGTGGTGTATGTACTTATATGTCTTGGTGCATGTACCCTTTCCTTGTGTGCTTGCAGAAGCCGCAGGAGAATGTCGGGTATCCTACTCTATCTCTCTGTACTGTATTCCTTTGAGATAGGGCATTTAACCAAACCTGGATTGCAGACAGCAGTCCCTGGCCGTCCTCCTGTCTCTTCCCCTTACAGTGCGTTGCTACCCCATGACTTTTTCATGGGTCCTGGGGATATGAACTCAGGTCCTCATGCTTGTGCAGCAAACACTCTTACCTGTTGAGCCGTTTCCCCAGACCCTGCTTGAACATTTTAATACATTAAAATTTTACAAATAAAATAATAATTGAATCAAGAAAATTATGTAAAATTTCCTAGCACTGCAAATACATTTTGAATGTCTTTTCTTTCTTGTTTGCTGTGGTGTTTTGAGTGATAAATTTCCTCCATAGTCTTAGGCATTTAAATACGTGGTCCCCAGCTGGTGGCACTTTTTGGCTAGGTTTAGGAGTTGTGGCTCTGCTGGAGGAAGTATGTTACTGGTGGAAGGCTTTGAGAGTTTAAGGACCCCACCATTTCTAGTTCACTCTCTGCTTCCTGCTCCCAGTTCAAGATGTGGGGCTCAGCTTCTACTTCCAGCAGCCACACCATCTGTTTGTTGCCGTACCTCCTCAGCATAACAGACTCTTCTCTCTGGGACCATAAGCCAAATAAACTCTCCTAGAATTTGCTTTCAGCATGATATTTTATCACAGTAATAAAAAAAGTCACTGATGTGCTTAGTTATTTTTATTCAAGCTAGAGTGTTGACACCATCCCATAAGCTCTAGCCTCAGCTACCTCATGCCCTCATGAGGGACTGTACACTCAAACTGTGAGCCATAGTAAACTTCTGGAGTTGCTTTTTTTGGGTATTTTTTTCACAGAAGTGATAAAAGTAACAAATACACGTGGCAGTAATCATGATTTGTGTTATTTGGCCAGTATATGTTGTCCTCCTATGCTATTTTATGCTTGTCAGGAGTAAAATACAGTGTTGGATAAAAAAAGACCATAGGAAAGGAATGAAATAATGTTTACAAATTAACAGAACATATTAGTGAACTCTCTCCTAATGTCCAGAGGTCTCAAGTTCATATTTAAAGTTGGCTTAATGAGTGAGGAGATTGCATGCTATTGCTTTTAAATATTTTGGAAAGTTATTTTTAAAAGAGTAACATTCTTTTTTTTTTATATGTCCAGATGGTATAGAAGGACAAGCAAAGGATATTAAGAACAAGGCTGTTTCTACTCAATATGAAGAATATATCTACCACTTAAAACTGCTCATCAATGAAATAATGGCTGCCTTGCAAATTTTTCTTAACTCAAAAATAGTAACACTGGGTTCATTGCACTGTTATAATGCCTGCTTGTATTGTGGTTTCTGTTTAATATCTGAGTCCTTATTTACTTACTGATAAGATCACTCATTTTAAGGGAATCAACAGAAGCAGAGCAAATCACCCACCCTCTCTTAGAAAGATGTTCTAAGAACTGAAAGAGTTAATGTGTCCTAGAATACCTGATAAGTACTCAGTTTTAGGTGCCTATATCCTACGTCTGTCACAATGTCCACATTCTTTTGTGTCAGACAGGAGGAATGCTAGGAAGAAGGTGTTTCAGTGATATCGAAAGGATTCTTACGTTTCAAAGACTAGACAGATTTCGCAATTTCTAGGACATTCTGGAGATTTGCATTGGTTGTTGGCAGTAGGTACTGTGTGTATATGTAAGGCTCGTGGAAGCACCGAGATGCCTGAATAGGACTTTACTTCCTCCCCAGTTTGCGTAGCAGTTTCCTCGGTTGGAAGATAAAATCTGTTGCATTAGAGTAGTTTCTATCTTGGTTTCATTGCTGCTGTACAAAATAAATTGTTCCAGTTTCATTCTTTAAGTTGATTTGTTAGATCCTGAAAGTTGTAATTTTCTTTCTTGATTCACTTCAGCCTTTCTGAGATCTCAACCTATAATTATCATACATACTTAAGTACAACACAAACTTTTCTGAAGTTTTCCTGTCTTTAGAATATGTTAAATGTTTTATAGCACTGGTTTTATTATCATCTAGAATATCAGGTTTCTAAGCGTTGAGGAAGAATTTGGGTTTTTATTCATTTACAGATAGAATGGTCCTAGAAGTCACTTGTATGTGAATCAGAGCTCCACTGCTGCTGCTGCTCTTTTGTTGTTCTTGTTGTTTTGCTTTTTTCCCCCTCCTGAAACCAGCACCACGATTATCCTGGGAGCTTCTAAGAGGGAGAAAGGCAGTGAGGGAGAAAGGAGGAAGCTATAATATGGAGCCTCTTTTCTTGGCCATGAGCCAGAATCCTGAGGACAGAAGACTCCTTTGCCAATTCAGGCCATAAACTGGAATGGGGTTGGCTCTTCTCTATGTACTTATCCATTTGTTTGTCTTTTCTGTAGATCAGGTCTTTTGGCCAGTTACTTAACTACTCTGAACTTATTTTCTTATCTTTGAAATAGAATTACTAAAAGTATCACTTCACTGGTTGTGGTGAGGATTAAGTGAGTCCAAATGTAGAAGGGTGTGTTTAGCTGAGAACCTGGCATGGGCTATTCCATCTCAAGGGTTGAAATCTTTTCCTCAGGATTAGTCAAGTCTAGCATTAATCCATGGCATATCAAGTGTCGGTACTCATCTAGTTCCTAAAGACCTGAACTGAATAAGAGTGGAGAGTCTTTCCCGTAAAGCTCTTACTCTAGTAGGAGGATGATAATGGAATTATGGGCTAAATACAGGGCACTATGAGCAGTGATCTGGATCAAAACTGAGCCCAGCTCAGAGTGGTCTGACTAAAGCATTTAACCCCTGAAATGGAACTGAGCATAACCATTCCAAGAGATACATTTACATTTCAAACCCCCTCTAACTCTTTTTCCTCCTTTCCTGAGCTCTCCCCTCTCTTTTTCTGCTCCTTCTTCCTCGCACTTTCTTATCCTTCTTTGGGAAATACATTCAAGGAATCTGCTCTAGCCTCAAGGTTCTAAATCTTTGACCTGAAGGAGTAGTACCACATACAGGGTTGTGCCTCTCACAACCTTTACTTGTGAAACATGAAGAAATTGACCTAAGAAGAACATGAGATTTCTGTCTAGAGATTTAAAGGGGTTTCTGTCTATATTGCCTTCAGTTTGGGGTATCTTAATGTTCGTTAAATAAAAAGATCTCCTTGTTTTACATAATGTCTGTTTATATTGCTTTGGTTTTAAAGGAATAAATATAGAAGAATCCTTGAAGTGCTTCGTTTATTTGTATATAGTAGATTCTTATTAAGAACTGTCTTGGCTATCAACGCAGATGCTGAGACTTATGGCCAACTGTTGGGCAGAGTGCATGGAATCTTATGAAAGAAGTGGGAAATAGTAAGATCTGGAGGGGACGGGAACTCTACAAGGAGAGCAACAGAACCAGAAAATTTGAACACAGGGGTCTTTCCAGAGACTGATGCTCCAACCAAGTACCATGCATGGAGATAACCTAGAACCGCTGCACAGATGTAGCCCATGGCATTTCAGTGTCCAATTGGGTTCCATAGTAATGGGAAGAGGGACTGCCTCTGACATAAACTGATTGGCCTGCTCTTTGATCACCTCCCCCTGAGGGGGGAGCAGCCTTACCAGGCCACAGAAGATGACAATGCAGCCACTCCTGATGAGATCTGATAGACTAAGATCATAAGGAAGGGGGGGGGGACCTCCCCTATCAGTGGACTTGAGGAGGGGCATGTGTGAAGAAGGGGGAGGGAATGTGGGATTAGGAGGGGAGAAGGGAGGGGTTTATGGGGGGGGGATACAAAGTGAATAAAGTGTAATTAATAAAAGTTAAAAAAAAAAAACTGTCTTGGAGGCCTGGGGAGATGGCTCAGTGATTAGAGTGTTTCCCTGGCAATTGTGAAAGCAAGAGTTTGCCTCTCCAGAACCCACATAAATGTTTGGTTAGTTTTGTGACCTGCCAGTAATTCCAGAAAGATTGGAAGGTGTACAGAGGATGCCCAGAGCAAACTGGTTAGAAAAACTAGCCATACTGGTGAGCTCTAGATTTGATCAAGAGACTCTGCCTTCATGACTAAGATGGAAAAACAATCAAAGATGATTCTGGACATTGGCTTCTGACATTCATATGCATGTGAACAAGAGTGCTTGTTCACACACATGCAGACATGCATGCACAAATACCACACATGGAGACTGGAAGTAATGATATTCACCTGGAATCTTAGACATTAGGAGGCTTAGGTAGAAGAATATAAGGTCAAGGCCAGACTGAAACCCTTTCTCAAAAACAAAACAGAAAAGGAAGGAGGGAGGGAGGGAGGGAAGGAGGGGGAGGGAAGGAAGGAAGGAGAGAGGGAGGGAGGGAAAGAAAGAAAAGAGAAAGAAAAAGAAAAAAGGAAGAAAGGAAGAGAAGAGAAGAGTGAAATCCAGTAGCAAATTCATACTTCAAGGTTTTATCTGATGGCTGAAATGTTCTGCCTATTCCTGAATCAGACTGCGGTTAGCTGACCATATAACAGTTATTTTCTCAGACCTAAAAATATTGAGGAGAGAATAACATTTAGAGTGAAAGCAGAACTTCATTAGCAGTGGCTAGATATATAAATACTGAGGGCTAGACCTAGAAATATGCTTAGTAAAAGGCTGAAAATTTCACCAAAGAACTATTTGAAATAGCACCAAGAGTGATTTTCACTTGAAAGAGTATCTTTGTGTGTGTGTTGGCTGGATGTATTAATTTTTTTCCATAAAATTCCATTCTGCCAATGTAGCATTTTAACTTTTTTCAACTTATAAGAATTTTTTTTCTTTTCTTTTTCAGCTTATGGGAAAGTATTTCTAGTTCGTAAAATAAGTGGTCATGATGCTGGAAAGCTGTATGCCATGAAAGTTTTGAAAAAGGCAACAATAGTTCAAAAGGCTAAAACTACAGAGCATACAAGGACAGAGCGACAAGTTCTGGAGCACATTAGACAGTCACCATTTTTGGTGACATTGCACTATGCTTTCCAGACAGAGACCAAGCTTCATCTCATCTTAGGTAAGTGTCCATTGTTGTCATACTTTCTATGAGAATATTTTTCTTTAGGTCTTGAGGAAACATAGTTTGGACTTAGAAGAAATTGTTTTTGCCTTTCATTCTTTTTGTGGTGCTGTTTCCTTTAGCATCTTGCTCTGGAAGGGAAACGGCCCCAGCATGAAGACATTTGTACATCTCTGTTCCACACTCCATGATTATTCAGTGTGCATCCAAGCAATGTGAAGAACTTGATGGCCCAGTGGGCCATGATTAGTATTTTAGTTCTCAAGAATGTACAGGTTTGGGCTGACAGGGGACAGTTATGAAAACTACTAATGGGGAGACATAAAGAAGAAAGAATTTTATTCCTAGCGACACTTCGCTTGTCGTGGTGGGAAACCTAAGGGAGTACCCACTAACCACTGAACCCTCTCATTTCCCATAGGTATTTTCTGAATCCATGTCTTTCCCGCTTGGACTGTTGTTTATGATCTTTGGGAGTTTGATTCCCCTGGTCACTGTATCTATTTTTATGTCAGTACCATGCTGTTTTTATTACAAAAGCTCTATAACACAACTTGAAGTCTGGAGTGGTGATATCTCCAGCAGATCTTTTATTATTTAGGATTGGTTTAGCTATCCTGTTTTGTTTGTTTATTTTCTAGATGTTTCCATATGGCATTGAAGATTGTTTTTTTTTTTAATTTGGTAAAATTTGTGTTGGAATTATGATGGGGATTGCATTGAATCTGTAGATTGCATTTGGTGATAATTTTTACACTGTTAATCCTACCAATCATGAGCATGGAAGAACTTTCATCTTTTGGTGTCTTTTTCAGTTTCTTTCTCCAATATCTTTAAGTTTTAACTATACAAGTCTTTTACTTGTTTGCTTAGAGTTATCCTAAGATTTTTTTTTTTGAGGTTATTGTGAAAAGGATTATTTCTCTGATTTCTCCACAACCTCTCCAGCATGTGTTGTCTCTTGAGTTTTTGATCTTGGCCATTCTGATGGGTGTAAGGTGAAATCTTAGGGTCGTTTTGATTTGCATTTCCCTGATGGCTAATGAGGTTGAGCATTTCTTTAAGTGTTTCTCTGCCATTCGATAAGGAATGTAGATTTTTAAAGTGTATTCTTACTATTCTCTGACTTTCCTCAGTGTCTGTTGTAATGTCCCCTTTTTGTCTCTAAGTTTTATTAATTTACAGCCTTTCTCTTCATCTTTTGGTTAATTTTACTAAAGTGTTTGTGAATCTTGTTGATTTTGTCAAAGAACCAACTATTTCATTGATTCTTTGTGTTGGTTTTTTTTGTTTTATTTATATTTTATTGATTTCAGTCCAGAATGATTATTTCTTCCCACATACTTTTCTTAGATATTATTTCTTTTTGTTGTTCTAGAGCTTTCAGGTGTGCCATTAAATAACTAATATGAGAGCTTTTCATTTTTTTCCTGTAGGCACTTAGGGCTGTGAACTTGCCTCTTAGAACATCTTGTTTGGATATTTCATGTTTGCATTTTTACTCAATTCTAAAAAATTTAAAATTTTCTTTTTATTTTCTGTTTGACCCAATTTTCATTAAGTAGTGAACTGTTCAGTTTCCATTAATTTTCCATAGTTTCTACTGTTTCTATTGTTGTTGATATCCAGCCTTAATTCATGGTGGTCAGATAGGATGCAGAGTAGTATTTCAGTTTTCTAATGTCTATTGAGACTTGCTTTGTATGCTAATATATCATCAATTATGAAGAACGTTCTTTGAGTTACTGAAAAGAAAGTATATTCTTTAGTGGCTGGGTGAAATGTTCTATATATTTGTTAGGTCTGTTTAATTAATGATGTTATTGACTTCAGTGTTTCTCTGTTTAGTTTTACCTATTTGCAAGAGCCAAGTATTGAAGGCACCCGCTATCACTGTGTATAAAGGTCAATATGTGATTTTAGCTGTAATAGTGTTTCTTTTATGAACTTGGGTACCCTTGTGTTTGGTGCATAAATGTTTTGAATTGCAATATCCTCTTGGTGAATTTTTCTTTTAATGAGTATGTAGTGTCTGTGCATTCCTATCTCTGCTGATTATTTTCGGTTTGAAGTTTATAGTATTATACATTAAAAATGGCTATACTACTTGCTTCTTGAGTTCATTTGCTTGGAATATCTTTTCTATCTTTTTACTCTGATGTCTATCTTTGATGTTAAGGTGTGTTTCTTGGTTGCAATAGAAAGATGGATTCTGTTTTTTAATCCAAAATGTTAGTCTATGTCTTTTTAAAATTGTTTACTTATTTTTTGATTATTACAATTTATTTACTTTGTATCCCAGCTGTAGCCCCCTTCCTCGTGCCCTCCCAACTCCACCCGCCCTCCCTCTTCACTTTCCATGCCCCTCTCTCAGTCCACTGATAGAGGATGTCCTCCTCTCCTTCCATCTGACCCTAGCCTATCAGGTCTCATCAGGACTGACTGCATTGTCTTCCTCTGTGGCCTGGTACAGCCGCAATTCCCCCCAGGGGGAGGTGATCAAAGAGCCAGCCACTGAGTTCATAGCAGAGACAGCCCCCGCTTCCCTTACTAGGGAACCCATTTGGAGGCTGAGCTGCCATTGCTACATCTGAGCAAGGGGTCTAGGTTAGCTCCATGCATAGCCCTTGGTTGGAGTATTGGTCTTTGCCAAGAACCCTGGGCCCAGATTTTTTTTTTTTTTTTTGGTTCTGTTACTCTCCTTGTGGAGCTCCTGTCCCCTCCATGTCTTTCTATCTCCCCCTTCTTTCATTGAAAATTGAGACCATCAATATAGTTATTAATGAGAAGTGTTTATTGATTCCTGGTTTTGGTTGCTGCCTCCCCCCCCCCCCCTGCATGTACTGTTCTGGGATCATTTATTCCCTGTGTCCTCGTAGTTGTGTTAATCTTCTCTTCAAACTGAAAATTTCCTTGTAATGCATTCTGTAGAGCTGGGTTGGTGAACAGAAATTGCTTACATTTGTTTTTTATAGTAAAAAGGGTTTTTTCTTTGTGGATTGTGATTGATATTTTTGCTGGGCATAGTAGTCTGGCCTTGCATCTATGGCTTCTCAGAAGGTTGAAGAACATTCGCCTAGGGCCTTCTGGCAGTCATAGGGTTGTTCCAATGGGCCTTGTGTTATATGTGACTTAGTCTTTTCCCATTGCAACATTAACATTCTTTCTTTGTTTTGTACCTTTAGTGTTTTGATTATTTTGTGTCTTGGGAATATTTTTTTTATGATCTTGTCTAGTTGGTGTTCTGTATGTTTCTTATACCTTTATAGTCTACAGGAGATGAAAGCTGGTAAGAGCCTAGACTCCCCATCCTGAATTATTATATTTAGCCTGCACTTCTCTTTCTTTCTGAAATCACTCTCTCTCCCTTCTCTGCAGATCTTTTTTTGAAGTTTTATTTTTATTTTTATTATTAGTTACATTTTATTAACTCTGTATCCCAGCTTTATCCCGCTTCCTCATTCCCCCCAATCCTACCATCCCTCCCTCATCTCCTCCCTGCCCCTTTCCAAGTCCACTGATTGGGGAGGACTGCCTCCCCTTTCATCTGCCTGGTTTATCAGGTATCTTCAGGACTGGCTGCAAAGTCCTCCTCTGTGGCCTAGCAGGACTGTTCCTCCCTTGAGGGGTGGGGAAGTCAAAGAGCCTGCTGTTGAGTTCATGTCAGAAATAGTACCTGTTCCCCTTACTAGGGAAAACCTGGTTAATGAACTACCACGGGCTACATCCAAGCAGAGGTTCTAGGTTATATCCATACATGGTCCTTGGTGGAGAGTCAGTCTCAGAAAAGACCCCTGTGCCCAGATATATTTGGTTCTTGTGGAGCTCCTATCCTTTCCACGTTATACTAACTCCCCTTCTTTCATATGATTTCCTGCACTCTGCCCAAGGTTTGGTTATGAGTCTTAGTATCTGCTTTGATAAAGTGCTAGGTAGAGTCTTTCAGAGGCCCTCTGTGGTAGGCTCCTGTCCTGTTACTTGTTTTCTCCTATGTCCAATGCCCATCCCACTTGTCTTTCTAAGTGAGGATTGATCATCCCACCTTTTGCTTTTTATTATTTATTGCATCTACTTTAGTTTTCTTTTTTATTTATATAGTATTTTAAGTTTTAAAAGAAGATGGATATTTGATTAAATTAAGTAGCCCTGAATCATGTTTGTTTTGTTTTTATTTTTATTACTTACTCTCCATTATTTTTAATCTTGAACAGTGTTCCAATAAACAGATACAAATAAAATAAGGAAAACCATGTTTTTTTTACTAGCTCAAGAGTTGTGGACAAGGCAACATTTTCATTCCATGGTAAGTGTCAGTAGACTAGAAAACATACTATTCTGTCCACATAGATTTACTTGGCGCAGTTGTTTTTTCTCCATGTTGAAAGTCATTTTTTTTTTATTTGAGTTTTAAAATGAGCATCCAGTTGTTTTTGTTTTTTGTTTTGGTTTGTTTTGGTTTTGGTTGTTGTTGTTGTTTGATATAAGGTTTCTCTGTGTTACAGCCCTGGCTATCCTGGACTTGCTTTGTTGCTTTGTAGACCAGGCTGTCCTTGAACTCAAAGAGATCCCCCTTCCTCTGTCTCCTGAGTGCTGGAATTAAAGGTGTGAGCCACCACCACCTGACAAACTTTCCAGAAATTTAAAACAAGGCTTTATTAGACACTGTACGTTGGTTCAGTTATTCTTTGAAATGCTCTAACTGGATGTTATTATTTGCAAATAAAGTGCTACACTTAGTCCCTGTGTTGATTTCTTTTTTTTTTTTTTTTTTTTTTTTTTTTTTTTTTTTTTTACGAGTAAATGTGAATTTATTCTTTTTTTTTTTTCCAATTTATTTATTTTTTTATTTTATTTTTCTTTTTAGTTACATTTTGTTAACTCTGTGTCCCAGCTGTATCCCGCTCCCTCATTCCCTCCCCAACCCCACACTCCCTCCCTGGTCTCCTCCCTGCCCCTTTCCAAGTCCCCTGATAGGGGAGGACCTCCTCCCCTTTCAT